TTTTTTTTTTCTGTTTGACACTTTCTAGTAATGGTGTCTTTAGTTGGTTTTGAATTTCAGGTAACACTTTAGAAAAGGGAAAACATATTCACTATTAACTAGGACTTTTGCCTCAAACTCCTAATTTGCTGCTTGTTAATAGTTAGTAAGGTCGTTGTTAAGTTTAGGTATGGGTGGATTAAGGGATCTAAAATACAGCCATGCAGAATAAGGCATTAATATGTGCTTTATAAGTACTAATAAACAGCCAATATGCTACTGACATGCATGCTAATAAGCAACTAATTAATAGCGAAAATTGGTCCTTAAAATAAAGTGTTACCGAAGTTAATATCTGGAAGATAGAATGGGTACATTGTTTTAGTGTAGCACATGAAGCATGTCTTATGTCAGTCTGATGTGGGTTTTTGAGTGTGTAGAACACTTCACATGGCTACTGCAACCCCCATGAACAGCTGCTCAGCTGCAAAATTTCATTTGTCACTGGTAAACATTCCATTCACTCCCATTAATCCAGAGGACGTGCAGAAAACAATCAGTTGTCAGAAGCAGTTCTGAAAGCAGATTCACATTTTCCCACAGTCAAGTTTATTATCTGCCTTTTCATTTTAAACAGATAATTTTCAACTATATTGACCTGCTCATTCAACTCCATTGAAACCACAGTTATGTTATGTTTGCTGGAGTGTTACTAAGAGCTTTTCCCTTGTAATATTGCACAATCTGTCTGGTACTTCATTTACATTGAATTATGGTGAATTGGATGCACAGAAAGTCATTTTCAGTCATTTCAATTCCATGTGTGCGGTATTTGGAGACATGCTGAGAACATATTCTTAGAACTAGTTCTTAAATCTTCTTGGAAAAGTGTCATAGATCAAGTTAAAGGAATAGTTAACTTCCAGAATAAAAATGTCCTGATAATTTACTCACCCCCATATCATCCAAGATGTTCATGTCTTTTGGATTTTGTGGAAAACATTCCAGGATTTTTCTACATATGTACTTAAATGGTGGCCAGCGGGCTGAAGGTCAAATTGTATTTTCAATGCAGCTTCAAAGCGTTCTACACGATCCCAGCCGAGGAATAAGGGTCTTATCTAGCGAAACGATACTTCACTCACAATTTAGATACAATCACTCACTGCTCTTTATAACACAATCAAATTTTGTTATCGTTGTTTTTGATACCAACTTTTAGATACCTCTTCAGTTTTACAATCCTCGATTCCAATTTCGATACCACAGCAAAAACTATTAGCCTAACAAATATAAAGAACTAAAAACTTTCTTGTTAGTCTAAAAATAGCTTATATTGAATCCAATTTGCCAAAATGTCAGGTTGTGGAATGTATCACTTTATGACGTAATAGTGTGGCTAAACCCTGCCTGCACAGAAGAAGTCTACATCACATCCTGCTTTGCTCCGCCCACCGATTCGCACATGTAGAATTAAATAATAACCAGAGAGGCAAACGCAGGTCTACGCAGAAACCACATGATTTAAGTTTATTTTTATGAATTTCCAGACCGCGTCAGTAAGAACTTGGTCCTTTGTTCACTTCATTTTACCATGAATTTGTTTACAAACAAGGCACAATTTGACGCAGGGCTTTTTTTAAAAAAAGCGTTTTTAACCTAAATCACAGCAGCGTCCATCAGTGAAGGATGTAGGCTGTCAAACATACATGCAGAAGTTTACATCGGTGGGCACACAGCTGTCCTTTAGAACTTGCAATATGCAAAAATGTTAGCCAATCATAGCGGTGGGCGTTTACTTCTGAGTCTACAATCCGCCATGCCTACTCAAACACAGCATTCCGATGAGGGAGGTCAAAACAGGACAGAAAATAGCCTATTACTTCTACATTATGATGTTTTTTGATGTAAAAATCACGGTAACAGTATAAGTGGACCTCAGAGAACAGTACAAAATAAAAAACAAAGGCAGTTCATGACCCCTTTAAGAAGTGTTTTATGTTCACCAGGGCTGCATTTTATATATATAAAATTTATATATATATTCATATACATTCCTATACACATATAGCGCAAACAGTAGAACATAGTGCTACAGTAGCAATGCCACGATCATGGGTTCAATGCCCAGGTACAACAAGAACTGATCAAATGTGTACCTTGAATGCAAAGTCACTTTGAATAAAAGCATCTGTTAAATGCATAAATGTAAATCTAAATTTACTCAATCAGGGAAGTCGTGGCCTAATGGTTAGAGAGTTTGATGTAAATATATTGCTAACATTATACGTGGACCTCAGAGAATAGCACAAAATAATAAGTGTAATAAGGCATATATAAAATAAGGCAGTTCATGACCCTTTTAATGTTAGTTCATAATGCATTTAACCAACATTAACATGTACAATTTAATGCTACACGTTTTTATATGTAGATATCTGTGTAAAATATGTCGGACTATGTGCATATGTGTAGTTCATGATATTTTGTATATTTATATGACAGACCTATAGGTTTGGATGTTTCGTAGCTCTGGTGGATGAAGGGCCCTGGAAGTGGTAAAGCCCAGGGGCCCCTTACAGTCTTAATGTGGCCCTGCATATACCTAACCTCTTATTCATTACCATGCTCCACAAAGAGCGCTATGTCGAAAAAGGCGGTGTATGTAAGTAAATGTGGGAAACCAAGGCTTTTGGCCCCTAAACTCTTCAAAAGCCCATGTTACTATTTCTTTAGCTAATTTATCATTCATATTCACTATTACATATTCATATGGCCATTTACATCAGTCATGAATCAAACATGAACTGGAAACACAGGCATTGATTTAATGTACATGCTGAAAAAGAGCGAGGAGAGGGTTGCTGCTGAGTATAAAAGATAAGTCATTTTTGCCCCTGGAGTCAACTGAGGCAATTTAAAGCTTCAATTATATTTTACTTATAGAAATCCATCAGGGTATTAATGAGCAAGAGCAATGTGCCGTTTTCAGCTGCACAGAAGGAATGCGGTTGATTTTTTCAAGGCTATTTCTGCGCACATCATTCTTCCAATCACAAATTCATCCGGGTTACATTGCGGGTTACATTTTTCACATATTTTCTACCAAATCATCCATCTATTCATGTCACTGAATTTCCTTACAATTGTCTGACTTTCCATCGTTCCTTCATAAACCCCTTTATTCGCACATTTGGTAATTTATGCATTAACTGAATAGGCTCACACATATTACTCATTTATGATCTATTTTAAGTAGTGTTGAATACATGTAGACAGAAGTTTGCCTGCCATTTGTGGAATGTCCTTAAAGAACACTAACATCCTGTTTGATGCACCGTTCCCAGAAAACTCCAGTACTTCCCCGTTTTCCCATGCATTCAGCAGGATGTGGTTTAGATTGTCGGCAAATTAGTAGTGTCGGTGCTGTGGCTCAGTGGTTAAAGATCAGGGCTATATTGTAGGTTTGAACCCCACTCAGCAAACCAGGGAACAAACACCACTGGTGCAAGACACTTCTGCAGGTTGCTTCAGGGTTATTTGAGGGGAAGCACACTATTAAATTGAACTCTAAATGACTGTATTGGTGTTCAAATTGATTTAGGCTTGTCATTAGTTCATTTAAACACCCTGGTCAACAGATACTACAAATTTAAAGGAGGGTGCAGAAGTGGGGGTTTTGAATCATCCTAATGACTCGAATCTTTGGAATCTGTTCACTGAAAAGATTTCAATCCTTTGACCTCATGGGATAGTAAAGTGTCCATCAAATGTGCACTTCAGAATCTTGACAGAAGCAGTACTTCACCAGGTATTTTTCTCTCTTTCTGCTTTATGAATATTGTAAATTAATACTGCAATATGCAAATCTAGAAATATAGTGGGGAATTATGCATGTTTGGTGGAGTGGAGTGTGTACACACGAGATATTTTGAAACATATCCCAGTGTTTTTGTCCATACAATGAAACTCAATGTGGTGATCTGTCCCTTTAATTCTAATGGCGGGTCCGAGACTCACACAGCCCACCTAAATTTGAACACTGGACTACTTACTATCCATTAGAGCTCAATTTACCTCCAACCATAATGAGTAAGTCCAGGCAAACTACTATCCAACATTCTGATAGCTAGAGACTAACCATAGGCTAAATAAATTAAAAAATAAAATTCAACATACCTCCACACACAAATCTATTACTTTCCCAGTTCCCTGCCAATTCACACAACCCCTGCAGCAGTGACTTACCACCTCAAGATCTGTTAGCCTTCACTACAGTCAGACATGTAGTTTCTAATGTTATCTGATGGGCAAAGTCAGCCTAGCATAACACAAATCAAATTAGCATAATGGTTGTGGAGTGCTGAGATGCTATCTGTCCACGTTGGGTTAATATTCCACTATGAAGAGTGGCCGAGGGTTCTGGATCAGAGTACTGATGTCCGGGCAGACTAATAGCCACCAGATGTGAGGGACCATTTTTGTAGGAAGAATGAGTGATCTGGGGGATAAATAAACAATGCTAATGCCTCACTTCCTGTCACCCACAAACGATTTCTGGGTGAAATGGAGGGAGAGAATTTGAAGAACAGCATTTTCTTATCTAATCACTATGTCCACTTACTGCTGCTGCAGCACATTTCGGGAATAGAAGGAAGCACCTATTGCACGTTTTTCACTGAAAGTTACTTAAAGCCAATGAAAGACCAACACGATTTATGACAGAGACAAATTATTGGTTGTTTGCTATGAATAGACCTCAAATATAGGGAAACAAAATACGTTTTAAAGTCATTGGACTGAATTAAATTAGATGCTGCTAAGATTTGCAGTGGCACTGCAATTTTATCGATGGCTAGCAGACTTGCTTTACATTGAAAAGAATATAATCCACACAGAAGAATGAAAAAGGGGAAATGAACATTGTGCTTTCCATACATCCCCTAAGGTCTGGTTATTTATTGACTGATTGATTGATTGATTGATTGATTGATTGATTGATTGATTGATTGATTGATTGATTGATTCACTTTAGAGATTGAACATATCCTCTAAATCTTACTCCTGCCTGGACTAGAAAAGTATAAAGCACGCTCTGAAGTTTTCATGTCTATCCCACACGCTCGCTGTTGCCGTTCAAATGCTGTATGTCCACATTTGGCCTGTAAAGGTCTGGCAGAAAGAGACCCTTTGCTTATCTATGTTGCTCACAGGAACATACTGCCTAGGAATAGATGCTATACTTTCTGCTATATTTTTTTTTTTCTTTAGTTTGTTTTTGTTTGATTTTGAAATATAGTTTATTTCTTCTTTCATTCACTCATTCGATTATTCTCTTTTTTCTTTCATTTATTCATTCATTTAGTAGACCTTTCTTGCTTGCTTGCATTCGTTTGTTTGCTCGCTAGCTTTTGTTTATTTATTTCTTTCACTTGTTTGTTCACTCTTTTGTTCTTTCATTTGGTAATTCAGTCTTTCTTTAATTTGTATGATCACTAGCTCTTCATGTCATTTTTCTTCTTCTCGATTTATGTCTGTGTATAATATAATTTATTTTTCATCCATCTTTTTTTTTCTTGTTCTTTCATTCTGTGAATTGAGTGTTCATATATAATAGAATCACTCTGTTATTTTATTTGTTTGCGCACTGGCTTATTCTTTTATCTGTTTTTTATTTATATTTATTTTTATTAGTTAATTTTTATTTTTATTACTTAATAACTTAATTTGTATGGTGACTGGGAGGAGACATGTTTGGTTCACTTAGTTTTGTCATGGGAACGTGATAATATGCCATGGCACAAGATCATTTTGTCGAGATAATGACGTCCTTATGTCGTGGCCACGCAATGTGAAGATGTGGCCTCAAGATCCTATGTTAAGTGAAAAACATCCTTTTCTCATGACCATGACCTCTTATGTTGAGGGAATGACATATTTTCCTCGTAGCCACGAGTTTAATGGGTAAACAAATGTGACCATAGCAACCTTGGATTTTCAGAAATTGATAAATTAATATTTTATTTTGAATTAAGAATAATAAAAGTGCGGAATTTAGAAATTATTATATTAACATAGGATAGGATTAATATAGGATACAGACTGTGTGTGCAATGTCGCCTAGACAGCATTTGAATTAAATGTATCTTGAATGAATATTAAAAGAATATGCAAAATAAAATAAAATAGGTCTACAAGAAAACTATGTAAAACGATATAATATTTGTTTTTATTAAAATGTCACTATCTAAGACTGTCAAAAGCTTATCTTGCTGGATCTGTCCACTGCTTTTGACACGGTTAACCACCAGATCCTCCTGTCAACCCTATTGACAAAGGGCATCTCAGGAACCGCACTCCAGTGGTTTAAGTCTTACCTCTCAGATAAGTCCTTCAAGGTATCTTGGAGAGCTAAGGTGTCCAAGTTGCAACATCTAACTGGGGTGCCTCGGGGCTCAGTTCTTGGACCACTTCTCTTCTAATACCAGCATACAGACCTCTACTCAAACTTGCCAAACCGGTCCAAAAGCAGATCACAGTATGGCCAGATGATGCTACCTCAGCACTACAGGACTGCTTCCAGGACACGGACTGGACCATGTTTAAAGAGGCAGCAACCTACCATGACCACACAAACCTGCAATAGTACACAGAAACAGTGACTACTTACATCAAAAAGTGCATTTATGATGTGACAGTCACCAAGAACATCACCACACGTGCCAACCAGAAGCCATGGATGACAGCAGAGGATCGTGGGCTGCTAAAGACCCGAGATGACGCATTCAGATCGGGAGACATAGCAGTCCTCAAAACAGCAAGAGCCAACCTGTCCCATGGCATTAAGAAAGCAAAATGTTTGTATGCATAAAAATCAATAATCACTTTACTGACAGCAAGGACACACGGAGTCTGTGGCAAGCTACACAGACTACAAGCCCCTGCCACAGGCCCGTGATGATGACACATCCCTTCCAGATGCACTCAGTGCGTTTTATGCACGGTTTGAAATGCAGAATGACAAACCTGCACAAAAACTGCCCACATCTCCCAACGACCAGGCACTCTGTCTGTCTCCAGTCGATGTAAGGAAGAGCCTATCTAGGGTTAACCCACGCAAGGCTGCAGGTCCTGATAACATACCAGGCTGGGTACTGAGAGACTGTGCTGAACAGCTGACAGATGTCTTAACAGACATCTTTAACATCTCCCTAAGCCAAGCAGTTGTCCCCACATGTCTCACGTCCACCACCATCATACCAGTACCAAAGAAGTCACCTGTGTCCTGCCTGAATGACTATCGTCCCATAGCACTGACCCCAATCATGATGAAGTGCTTTGAGAGGTTAGTCATGCACCATATCAAATCCAATCTCCCCAACACACTTGACCCGCTCCAGCTTGCATACTGTCCAAACCGCTCTACGGACGATGCCATTACCTCCACCCTCCACCTGGCTCTTACCCACCTAGAAAACAAAGACTCTTATGTTAGAATGCTGTTCATCGACTTCAGCTCAGCATTCAACACAATAATCCCACAACAGCTCATCAACAAACTAAACCTGCTGGGCCTAAATACCTCCCTCTGTAATTGGATCCTGGACTTTCTAACCGGAAGACCTCAGTCAGTCCGTGTCGGCCACAACACCTCCAGCACTACCACACTGAGCACAAGTGCCCACTGCTCTTCACGCTGCTGACCCACGACTGCACTGCCAAGTTCAGCTCCAACCACATCATCAAGTTTACGGATGACACAACGGTGGTAGGTCTCATCAGCAACAGTGATGAAACGCACTACAGAGAGGAAGTGGCAAAGCTGGCTGAATGGTGTGGCACTAACAACCTGTCCCTCAATGTGAGTAAGACAAAGGAGGTTGTGATGGACTTCAGGAGAAACTCCGTTGACCACCCCCCACTGACCATCGACAGCTCGACTGTGGAGAGAGTCAGCAGCACTAAATTCCTGAGGGTGCACATAACAGAAGACCTCACCTGGACCACCAACACTACATCACTCTCCAAGAAGGCGCAACAGCGGCTCCACTTCCTGCGCCGACTTAAAAGAGCGAGTCTCCCTCCACCCATCCTCACCACATTCTATAGGGGCACCATTGAGAGCGTGCTGACCAGCTGCATCACTGTCTGGTATGGGAACTGTAGTGCAGCAGACCGCAAGACCCTCCAGCGGACAGGGAACACGGCTGCAAAGATCATCGGTGCCCCTCTCCCCTCCATCCTGGACATTTTCCTTACACGATGCTCCAGCAAAGCCAACAGTATCGTGAAGGACCCCACCCATCCCTCCCACAGTCTCTTCCAGCGCATCAGGGCAAAACTGCTCAACAGCTTTTTCCCCCAGGCTGTGAGAGCCCTCAATTCCAATCATCTCACTCATCTCACCAACCTCATCCACAACCCTAGCTCCTGAAACCAGGATCCTCTCTCTCCCCATCCCACCACACCACACCACATGCACCACATGAAAACTGTTGAAAACCTCAAGAACATTGTGCAATTCTGAGTGTGCTACACACAGGTGAGTGGGCTGGACAAACCACCTGTAGAAAAACACACTCTTTTCTCTCTATATGCACCAGACACCTTCTTATAAACATTCCATGTTACAAGGACTTAATAAGATAACCCAAATGTTTACTTTTGTCATACTGCACTACTTGCTTCTTAACCTTAAATACCTCTTTTGCACACTA